TACTGTGTGTCTTTAAAAGCTAGGCTTATTTAACAAACAGTTTTTAAGTTGGTTATAAAAATGTTATTCATCAGTTTGAGTTAATTGATATTATATGATTTTAGTAGGCAAAATAACCTTTCTGCTCACTATTGAACAAATAAATTATAACCCTTTTTTTCTACCTAAACTCACCATTTGAAATGTGTGGTTTACTAAATATTTGGTAGTAACCTATAAGCAAAAAGAATATACATATATCTGAATGACTTTGTTGTATACCTGAAACTAATACAACATGATAAATTAGTTATACTCCAATAAAATTTTTTAAAAAATATGTGTTTAAGAAAAAAATGTCTGATCGATTGCCATAAAGGAATGTTGGCAAAAGTAATTACATGTGAACTTCTTTTTTTTTTTTAACATGTGAATTTCTTAAGAGGGTATGACTGTACTCATTATTTTTGATAGGTAGATAACTGCTTGTGAACATCATTGGTTTGTTCTCTTTAAGCAATTTACTTGAATTCACACTTATTTGTGTATGTGAACCATGCTGCTTACCCTATTTAACTTGATCTTGTGCTTGTAAATTTTTGTCCCTGGTTATAATGTTTTATACCTGACTAGTCTTCTATGTATACAGTCATTATTTAGTTTGACATACACATTCTATCTGAGCAATAAAAGCATTTAATTGACATTTAAGCTGCAGAACATATTGGAACACATTTACATTCAATGCTCTTCTCTGAAAGTACTATGTAAAATGTACATATTCTTTACTCACAACATCTTCACTATTTGGGCAAAAGCTACATTCTACTTCTTCCCACAGAATAAAATAATAAGCTGAGAGATAAATCACCATAGCATTATTCAGTTACTTACAGTAATGCAATCAGAAAGCCCATCTCCTGACCTCTAATCCCCAAGACTACTCTCCTTTGTGAAATCTGTCTTCACTTTCACTTAGATTCAAGTAATAAAAGTTTTGAATGCTTTAAAAAATTGCTAGCCTTTTTGATAAAGAGGTTTGACATTCTATTTTCCACTTAATATAATGTTTTCTTGGACTGAAAGTGAGTGCCCATTTATACATAATTTTACCAAGTTGACTAAAGCTGTCGGGTTGTCTTAAGTATCACAAAGGTTACAGAGAACTCTGCAGCAAAGCCTGACAAGGAAAAGAAAGAACTGGGCTTTATCGAGCTCCCTCCCAGTTAGTACTTAATATATTCTGACATGTTTCAAATTGTAGGTCACAATCTATTTATACTTCTGGAAAGTTCATTCTCAGCCAGCATTGTGGAAATGAGATTGAAACATTTTTGTCTTTTCCATGAATACAAGTAAGCCAACTCAAGGCTTCTGACACTAGCCTAGAGAGTTATAAGACTAAATAGTTTAGTGTTGCTCTCACCATATGGTCCAAATGAACCAGTAAATTTGACTTACACAGCCAGAAGCATAATTAGAGAGAATCCTACTTTCATTCTCTCATAGGTCTGTTATAAAAATTCAAGGACCAAATACAGTGCATGGCACTTAGTAAGCAACTCTATATATATATTTGCCTCTATATATATTGGCAAAAAAACCCTATATATATATATATAAATGGTCTTGATCCTGACAATGATTATAAGCAGTGTTATTTTAATTTTTAATAAGTACTGTCTGATTCTAAAAATAAAGCATGGTGGAACATGTAAAAAACAACAGATGTGTAATGAAGGATTTATTGCCTATGTGTTTTTTTCCATATTATATAAACAAGCTTTTTTCTTGTGTTTTTAAACTTTATAAAACACTTTCAGGGCTATCAAACTTGATCATAATTGATGACGGTCATATATGCTACCATCATATTTGGGGCATTGACCTGGACAGAAAGATCTTGAATGAATGAGATAGAAATTTATCTCCATCTACTTTACTATAAGGGCCTTTCCTATTGCAGTAAGACTTTCATTTAATTTTTCTTTCCTCAGTGGAGCCTTCCTCCAGCTTCATTCTTGGGAATAAAATTTTTCACTCTCAAAGTAACAGAGAGCCCCACAAAGAGGGCCTCTGCTATCTTCATGTTGAATTTGTTTAAATAGCTCAATACTAATGCATTTCTTACCATAAAAAATTGCACAGTTGCCTCTTCATCTAGCCAATTTTATACATTTTCAAATTTTCCAAATTAGAATTGCCTCCCTTTATGCATAATTCTAAACTTTTATGAGTGGGAGTATTTGAGAATATTGCCCCAAATTTACAAAATTTCTTGCTCCATTCCTCTAAATTGACTATGTAGAAAACCTTGATTCATTTATAAACATTTATAAACATTCAAAGTCTAAATAACAGACCTGTAACAGTAAGAAAAATATCACAGTGTGAACATATCTTAGACAATTAATATTTGTAAACATGAAGATTAATTGTGCACATAACATAAATACCCTCCTGTAGCAGTGTTGAAAAGTAATTTCAGAAATTATTCTCTATTTTCCATAAAAAATGACTGAATAAGTCAATGATTTACTCTATTTTCCATTGCTCTGCCAAGACAAACTTTATCTTAAATGTATCTTCCTATGAGCAGGTCACAGAAATGAACTACATGGACCTTTGTTGACATAGTTGATGTCAAACTATTTTATTTTGTAGTACCTTCCTATATAGATACAACTCATATATTTTTAGTTTTAGTTTTCTTCATTACAAAAACCTTAAGGAATGAGGAAAAACTCATTCCTACAAGCAGAATTTTAATTATGCCTCTCAGATGTGTGCCTTTAATTAACTGGTGACATTTCCTTTGTTCAATTATTATAGTTATATACAACTGTCATAAACTTATAAATTTTAATTAAGGCTGCCCCAAACCCTAGTTATATAGTGTCCACATAGGAATTTGCCAAAGGCTTAACTGTAAGTAAACCAACAATGAATAAATCCATGAACTGCCCACTGGGATTTGTTTTACAAATTAACATTTGTGTGGAGATAATGAGGTTCTACAGTCCATAATACCAAACAATGTTTTATAAAACCACATTTTTAAAAGTGAAAAATGCATTTTAAAATATTTAATTAACTATCATATTATTATTTGTTGCTATAAGATAATAACTACATGGTTATATATCAAGTTGAGTTCATATGAGGAGATCATTTGCATTACTAATTAGAAATATATATATTTTTTGAATGAGTTATACTTTCTATAACTCAAGATCTAATACTCTGGATATTAAACCTGATAATGTATGGGTTCTAGATAAATGAACAGATAAACTTGATATATTGTGGATTTTAAGAATGCAGCAAGGTCTGGACAAATGATTTGAATGAAACATTAAAAGTTCTGCTGTATTTATATCTAGGTCACAGTACAGTACAGTGTTAGTCACTCAGTCCTGTCCGACTCTTTGTGACCTCATGGACTGCAGCCCACCAGGCTCCTCTATCCATGGAATTCTCCAGGCAAGAATCCTGGAGTGGGTTGCCATTCCCTTCTCCAGGGGATCTTCCTAACCCAGGGATCTAATTCGGGTCTCCTGCATTGCAGGCAGATTCAGGGAAGCCCTCATATAGCTCATCAGGATAGCAAATTCAACGTTTCAAAGAGATTTTACTCTTTAGATCCATCTCAGGTTGAATTGGTAGCCATAGTTTGGAGTGTCAAACCCTTTCGTTGGCTTAAATATTTCCAAAGATAAATATAAGAAACTCATCTGGTCGCAACCCAAAGATCATCTTAATGAGAAAATTAAGAGCTAAATAATAAAACTAAACACCTCATTTGCATAAAAAAGCATCTTCCCTAAAGCTACGCAGTATGTGTGTTGTAAAATCTAATTACAGGTCACACCCTCTTACCTCACATTCAGTGGATTTTCATTTGCATATTCACTGAAGGTCTCAGTACACAGCTTTTCCTCTGGCAACAGAGTATACTTTGTGGACTGGCTCCCCCTCAGGCAGAATGAATATATGTAGTAAGGCTCCTAACGCCTTTTTTAATTTAATCAACCTGATGAATTCTTGTTTAGAATTCTAATTAGTAGTCAAAATTATCTTAATTATCAATTAATCATATCAAAACTATTTATAAGCGTAAAACTATCAAAGAAATAGTAACATTTTTACTCTGAGAATGTAAATCAGAAAATGGCTTGCTGCTCCTGAACGCCATTGAAGATGCTTCTTCATATGGCTCTTTCAGTTATCCTTATGCTAAATACCACAAAGAATAACTTAAGCAATAGAAGCAGTGAAAAAATTCAAGTATGATGAAAATTAACCATGTAGGGGGTGTGAAGAAATACAAATTGATTTTCCATCTGACTATCTAAATCTGCACTTATTGTAAAAGAACTGAATGTGCATAGATTGCATTCTAATTGTTGCACAATCTCCTTTGCACTAAAATTGGAATTTGAAAATTATATTTTTATTATGTGTTAGGGTTAATTTTTTCCCAGTAGGAACATATTTTAAATGTAATACAAGTCAGTAGAGAAATATATGTTAACATTCACTTACGAGTTGTAGAAAACACTTTTTTCAAGCATAGCTATAGCATAAATTAATAAGGATCTCTTTTATATCTAAATATGTAGTAATCTGATGTTTCCAAAGCAATGTGTTTTGAATATACTATAATGTAGTATCAACAGAATGGTTTTGATTTAGATGGAATTTTTGATACTATAAGATATACTGATATAATATGTATATACTGGAGAGGTCTCGCTCAGTCGTGTCTGACTCTTTGCGACCNACACTAGATAGTGATCATTATTATTGTTAATTTCTGTGATTTGAACTTTGATATACTCAATTTAGAACAATTGCCACTGATTATGTTGATTTAATTATTAGATTTAATTTTTATATTTGTTATTAAGACACCAGGAGTGATATTTGTTATAATTCAACACTAAGTATTTTCTATATATTTTTCACATGTAAGGAAAATTGCACATTATTTTTACATACAATACCACTCAATTATTTACCCAGAGCTGATGGCATACAAGTTCCTCCATTTTGACAGTAGTTGCTACAGTGGTTGATTTCACATCTTTCTCCTGAATAACTAGGCCAACAGTGACACCTCAAATCACCCTTCTCATTTAAAATGCATCTTCCTCCATTTTCACAAGTCAATTTGCATGAATCATCTGGTTATAAGAAGAAATGTACAAATTAGCATGCCATTCAGTAGATGGTAGGGTAAGAATAATTCAAATAAAAATTAAATACTAAGACAATTTTTTTCATAAAATTCCAAAGCTAAATACACCTTAGAGAATCAAATTTCAACTATTGTTGAAGGTGAGCACAAATATTCAATTAACTTTTATTCTTTTTCAGGCTTAAAGTGCTATTTATCATTTTTTATATTTGTTAAAACATTAAACAATAAAACCAACTGAAACTTTCTAAAAATAAAATATTTTCCAACCAATAAGTGTTTTTTCACAGTATGGGGAAATATGGCTTATTTTTCAAGGAGTGTTTGATATTAAGCCAAACTGAGATATGTAAGCTAAATATTATAGTATATATATGTAGTCATACATATAATATATATGGTATAGTGTGCATATAGAAACAAACACACACACACGTATATATATAATTTATAGTATAGGGAAACATTTAAATGAAAAAATACCCTTTGATGTACATACTTATAATTTATAAACACATAAAACAAAATGTTACTTAGATTTGATACAAGGTGGTGATAAGTGTCAGAAACATCTATTTCCATATATAAGCTGATTAGTCGTAATTTGCCTACAATACATTTTGGCTTTGAAAAGGAAATAATGATCATTCCTTGAGGTCACAGAATTAGTTTTAAAAATATGATGAGTCTGATTCATGATAAAGATTGGTTTGGAATCATTTTCTGGATTATTTTTCTATATGTATAGACATGGATTAGAAATACTGCTCTATGTAGACCAGGACACAATGTTCAATTGAACAAACACAATCAATAATAGTTTAAGAAGCAGTCTATCCAGAAAATACCTTTTTCTAGAGTCATGCTTATTTTGTATGAAGTCAAAACAGCCTATATTCTTTACTCAAGATACATTGACCTAGACATAGCAGCAGCTTGGATATATCACTGCAATTATTACAAGAACATCTTAAAGAGCCTCAGTGATGTTAAATGACACAACAGTTCAAGTGTCATAACTACTGTCATAAACAGAGACAATCAGCAGTGTCAAACAAATTCTGATATTTTTGGCATTGCAAAACAACTTCCAATACTTTTTCAAGTAGGGAGGTTTCAGGTTGGCATTACTAAATTCTGCATTTGTAATATGAAGTACTTTCATGAGGCACTATATATATATACATGGTATAAAGAAAGTGACAATTGATATAGTAAGATTTGCTTTTAGGTCCTGGTTCTGCTCCTTACTACGCGTAAATTAAACTATCCAAGCCTTAGTTATTTCTACTTTAAGATAGCCTTATGGACATATGTACAACTTAACTCATAGATTTGTTGTGAATATTAAATAAACAACTTGAAAGTAAAAGTTAAAATCATAGAGTTTTGTAAATTTTTAGGTACATAAGTAAATACCATACACATACACACAAATGAGAGTCTGAGTTCTAGCCATACTGGAATAGTACAAGGATGGAGACCTGCAATCTGGGTCTACAAGGTGTATTGCTAAATTTCAACAGGAAATTGAGGCACTCATTAGGTAAATTACCAAGTGAGAATCCTAGTGAGCATTATGTACTGAGAGTGCATGAGGTGCACTGAGAATCCAGCTCACATGGAACAGATCCTGTGAAAGCCAGAGGGTGAGCATTGGAGGGACTCAGAGCAAGTTACTAAGACTGGGCTGGATTACAGAGCGTCAAGGAAGGAACTGAAAGACAAGTGAATTTGAAGAGAAAAGCAGAGTGTCACAGGAGATTCTTGAATGTTGGACGTTTCCTCAAAAGTAGTGTTAAGTCTTCGAAAAGTCTAGAATGTCTAAGAATGACTGTAATGATTGGGTTAAACTGAAAACACGGGGACTATTAGGATTCTGTTTAAATTGTCCAAGCTGGATAAGATGATGGCTTTAAAATAATGTAGGATAGATAAACGTAGACATATTCTAAAAATAACTAGAAGATAAAAATCACATCAGAGGGAAAGGAAAAACTAAGGATAATGCTTCAGTTTCAAACTCAGGGGCAATAAGACCTAAAGTGTTTTATCTCTGTATTAAATTGGAAATATCTATTTAAATGAAGTGGGAATCTCTAGCAAAGGGTTGAATATAGACATCAAACTCTCAAGAAAGATCTGGAGAGGAAATAACATGTGCTTAGTTTAAAATTTACCAAAACATTTCAAACTCTTTTAGCATGAAACATCCTAAGTGGAGTTGTGAATGTGAATAGTGAAGATAACTGTTAAAGGTATTATGATCACACTTAGGATTACTATGGGAGGGCACAGTTACACTGGTGGATGTTCTATGTAAAACACGTACATATTCAAAATCTCTACATGTTAGGATATGTGCATTTCTATAATGTACCTCATTAGGCACCAGAAATGCAAACATATAACACTGCCTTTGAAATGAAAGTAGAGTTACAGTCTTTAAGAACCTAACTGTAATAGTTCTATAATGAAAATGGAAGCTGCTTTTTTCAATACCTAAATCACCTCCAGAAGCCAAGCTCCAGCAATTACAATCAACTGTAGGGAAGAGCAGGTGAATACTTCTCCAAGAATGGGTAACATTTGAATTTCAAATTTCCTACACAAAGATTAAAAATACTCAGGGTGCTCATCATTTAACAATAGCAGCTAGAGAAAGGCAAGTCATTATAAATGCTGAAAAAGTTAGCTATATCAAATATTAATATCAGGAAAAATTAATTGGCTTTTATCTACACTAATCAATAATTCTAAACTCCAGTTATTTATGTTCTTAACCAAAGTGTTCCAAGTCATCTATTACCAAGGCTCATATATATAAAGGCCATGTGCATACTTTTAACACTTTCATTATTTAATATATAAGATTTTTTTTTAAATTACAAAATAAATGTTGAGGCCTTTCAGGCCGGGTTGCAATCATGTTTCCTGTAATCATACCTTTCAGGCTGGGTTGAAAACATAAAACTAAAATTTCTAAAGGAGTTTAAGATTTTGGTTAAGTGTGTATTTAGATAAAATGCTTCTTCATGTAAAACTTGGGAAGTGAAAAGTGAGTGTTAGTCACTCAGTCATGTCTGCCTGTTTGTAAACCCATGGACTGTAGCCCACCAGACTCCTGTGTCCATGGAATTATTCAGACAAGAACGCTGTAGTGGATCGCCATGCCCTTTCCAGGGTATCTTTCTGACCCAGGGATTGAACCTGAGTCTCCTGCACCACAGGCAGATTCTTTACAAAAAAAACTTGCTACCTTCAAGACAGGTTTATCTTAGAGTGCTGTGTGTCTACTTTTAGCAAGGCATTGTGCTGGGCACTTTCTGCATGTTATTTCTAGTATTTTCCAATTACTCTAGACATGGGTACTTTGGGTGGATTGGAGGCACTAGAGTGCATTATATGATGATGAAGACTGTAGAATGCCTATGTCCACCTTAGAGTATTACCATTATTAAGTATTGTTAGACAGTCAACTGAACCTCTATATACTTCAATTTTTCATCTGTAAAAATAGGGACAATGAGAGTATAACATCATCAAAGTTTTGTGGGGATTAAATGAAATAATGTGCATATAACATATGTAAAATATGCCTTGCACATAAACCTTCAAGGTATTTATTCTTTTTACCAGTAGTGGTAGTATTTATTGTTAATTTGATTTTACACAGAAGAAATGGAAACCGAGGGAGTATGAGGCCAAACAAATTAGTTAAGTGATAGATCTTGAGGGGTGCTCAAGAGAGAGGTGATATAATTATGGCTGATTTGTGTTGTTGTAGGCAGAAACCAATACAGCATTGTAAAGCAATTCTCTTCTAATTAAAAAATAAATTTTAAAAAACACAAAAGAAATGTAATAAAAAAAAAGGACTTGTCTTGAAAAAAAAAAGGGGGGGGGTAGATTTCGGTTTAATCCACAGCATCACCTCAGCTCTACCCCAGGTCAAGTTCTTCCTATGTCAGTCAGTCAGTCAGTTTAGTCGCTCAGTCGTGTCCAACACTTTGTGATCCCATGGACTGCAGTACGCCAGGCCTCCCTGTCCATCAACTCCCGGAATTTACCTAAACTCATGTCCATTGAGTCAGTGATTCCATCCAACATCTCATCTTCTGTCATCCCCTTCTCCTGCTACCCTCAATCTTTCCCAGCATCAGGGTCTTGTCAAATGAGTCAGCTGTTTGCATCAGGTGGCCAAAGTACTGAAGTTTCAGCTTCAACATCAGTCCTTCCAATGAACACCCAGGACTGATCTCCTCTAGGATGGACTGGTTGAATCTCCTTGCAGTCCAAGGGATTCTCAAGAGTCTTTTCCAACACCACGGTTCAAAAGCATCAATTCTTTGGTGCTCAGCTTTCTTTATAGTCCAACTCTCACATTCATGTATGACTACTGGAAGAACCATAGCCTTGACTACACAGACCTTTGTGGACAAAGTAATGTCTCTGCTTTTTAATATGCTGTCTANCTTTTCTAAAACCTACTTGAACATCTGGAAGTTCATGGTTCACGTATTATTGAAGCCTGGCTTGGAGAATTTTGAGCATCTTCCTATGTATTTGTTGATTTTGGAATATTGAATAAATTGTTTGTATTATGGGCTTCCTACATGGCTCAATGGTAAAGACTCGGCCTGCCAAGTAGTAGATGCAGACTTGATCCCTGAGTTCAGAAGATCTACTCAAGAAGTACATGGCAACTCACTCTAGTATTCTTCCTGGAGAATCCCATGGACAGAGGAGCCTGGGGGACTAGTCCATAGAGTCACAAAAGAGTCAGACATAACTTAGTGAATAAACAAGTACAACAACATTCACATTAAGTAAAGGGGCAAAAGGGAGGTTATATAGAAGAGACGGTCTTATTTATTTATAAAAGAACAACAACAAAAGCTGTCTGCAACTTGGTAATTAAAAAAATAAACTTCTAACACCCAAATCAATGTAAAAGTCACACTAGTAGCATAAGCCGTGTGCTTCCACACAGAGGACTAATCTCGCTCCCAGGAGTCTTTCCCACCCCAACGACAGTGTCTGTAGACTCGGTGCAGAGGAGGCATCTTTGACAGCACTGCTCATGGTTGTCCGGAACTAGTGAAAACGTGGTACATCGTCTACAAGGAAGGAGGTGCTGCCATTTTGAAGCATCTATTTCCAAAATGTTAGGTAGAAATCTCAAATAGGTGGAGAATCAATGGCAACAGTGAGAGACTTTATTTTTGGGAGCTCCAAAATCATTGCAGATGGTGACTGCAGCCATGAAATTAAAAGACACTTGCTCCTTGGAAGAAAAGCTATGACCAACCTAGACAGCATATTAAAAAGCAGAGACATTACTTTGCCAACAAAGGTCCATCTAGTCAAAGCTATGGCTTTTCCAGTAGTCTTGTATGCATGTGAGAATTGGACTATGAAGAAAGCTGAGTGCTAAAGAATTGATGCTTCTGAACTGTGGTGCTGGAGAAGACTTTTGAGAGTCCCTTGGACTACAAGGAGATCCAACCAGTCCATCCCAAAGGAAATCAGTCCTGAATATTCATTGGGAGGACTGATGCTGAAGCTGAAACTCCAATACTTTGGCCACCTGATGCGAAGAACTGACTCATTGGAAAAGACCCTCATGCTGGGAAAGATTGAAGGCAGGAGGAGAAGGGGACAATAGAGGATGAGTTGATTGGATGGCATCACCAACTTGATAGACATGAGTTTGAGCAAGCTTCGAAAGTTGGTGATGGACAGGGAAGCCTGGCTTGCAGTAGTTCATGGGATTGCAAATAGTCAGACATTACTGAGCAACTGAACTGAACTGAAGTAGAACTTGTGACCATACACAGTTCACCTGCATGACTGTGTCAGAGTAGTGAGTGAAAAATGCACCAGATAATGTTGAAACATGTGCATGTAATTCGATTATTCTGTCATCACAACTGAGATCATGGAAACTCCAATTGGGAGAATTGGTAAGGAGGAAGGGTTCATCCTAGAACTAGGGACAGCTCCCCTTTTCAATGACTGGCACTAAAATAGTCTTCCAAAAGACCAATCAAGATTCACATTTAGCATTCCATTAAGCGTGTTCCAACCTACCATGCATAGCAGCACTTTGCACACCAGTCACACTAACTGGAATAAATGACTTGTTATTTTCTTTACTTTCAATGGTTTTGTGACTTTTCAGAGAGTTTATTCTGTTTCAATGTCCTTTTCATTCATTCCTACTTAACCTAAATCTAGTCTGTCTTTGCATATCTTATCCTAAGGTCATATTCTATAGGAAATTCTAATTTTTTCTCTAATTGGATAATCATCAAATTTTTCCTAACAGTTTGAACTTTGTCTCTTCTGTAGCTTATATCACCATTCCCATAAATATCTATTTATTGGTGTTTGTGTCATTCATCAATTCATCCTTGCAAGATCATCAGCTATGGATATTTAGTACTTAAAAATATATATTAGATAAAAGAGCTATGACAGTTTTAGACAGTGAGTGCCTTAGGAAATGCAAAAGTGTTTAGATGGCATATAACTCTCATCAGAGAACAAGGAGACAGTGATATGGGCATAGAGATGCTGACTGAGAACAGATAGTGTGTTCACGTGAAGAGTTCATCCTAACAGAGAAATATTAATGTAACAGGTAGGAAGCCCTGCTATAAAGTGTCTCATTGGGAAAATGTTTGCTGTGACCCACTAGTGATTTTGGAGCACTGTCCTTTTGTCTGTGACATAAAATTAACGTGCTGATTTTATTTTTTCTTAGCTTTTTTTTCCATTATGGCTAAAGTCTTGAATATGAATAAACTTTTTGAAAGTCTGTCTGGATATCCCAGAGACATTACTTCCCCAACCCTTTTCAACGCACTATTTTTGTTTTTGATTTTTTATGTTTTGCTATTTAATACACTCCAGTATCTGAAATAATGTTTCAGTTTTTAAATGTTTTCAAACCTCTAGCTTCTAAAGCATAAACTGAAACATTTGCAGTTTTGCTTCTAACTTAGTTCTTGGTTTCTAAATTAATGTTATACTTTGCTCATAAGTTCTCAAAATGTTTATTATTTTTATTATTAATATGAGTAGTAATAGTATTTATTGTTAATCAAATTTTACAGAGGAAACTAAGACTTAGTTTCTAAATAAGTTTCGGCACACAGAAGTTATTTAATATAAAGTTACTAAATGGATAAATGAATTTGGTAGTTTGGTTTAAACTAACAGCTGAATGGTACCCTCAGAAATATCATTATCTTAGCTGATACAAGAGCTATATAAAAAAGTCTCTTAATTTACTCTTTCATGCATGGTAGGTGCTCAATGCAGCTTTGTAATAAATGTACAATCAACTAATAGGAAGTCATTATCAGAGAAAATAATAGCTTATATAGGCACTCACGAACCAGTGATATCATGGAAATGATATCAGTGATTACTGAGTAGCTAATTCTGCTAAGTTTCAGTAGTTGTGAACATTTATTCTACACAGTAATTCATTATTTACAGAATAATGAAGTTTACCTACCTAACAAGCTGTCATCATTGCAGGTGCCATTAATCAAATATTTTCCTTCTGGGCATGCACAAGTGGCCCCAGAAGGATTCAGTAAACAGAGGAATTCACATGCTAGATCCGAGCATGGATTGGGTACTGATCAAAACAAAACAAAAGAAGAACATAACTATAAATACAATAGGTTTCAAAAACATAAAATTCAACAAGGTTAAATGATGAATTAGCAATGCTGAAAAGAAATAACATCAAATTTTTTTTTAACCAGGAGTATACTATTTCAATATTAACAGTACTCCTTTATAGATGAAAAGAAATTACTAACCAACATCTAAGGGTTTCCCTGGTAGCTCAGTGATAAAGAATCCACCTGCCAATGCAAGACACTTGGATTTGATCTCTGGGTCAGGAATAGCCCCTGGAGAAGGAAATGACAACCCACTCCAGCGTTGTTGCCTGGGAAATCCCATGGTCAGAGGTGCCTAGGGGGTTGCATGCCTCCATGGGATCACAAAAGAGTCAGACACGATTTAGTGACTAAACAAAAACAACAACCCAGCATCTATTATTAATAGAAAATGTACCTTAATTTACATTTTCCATGAGGGAGAGGAAAATCAAACACATAATTTGTCATTTTTCCTTTGGCAAAGAGTTGATCTGAGACACAGAAGTGCAGTTTAGGACTATTGTAAAAGTCTAGCTAACTGAAGTCTTTGGGATCTAATTTTCATTTTAAATAGTTTCAAGACTGGTTTAACAGACAGAAAGAACTCCCCCTGATATTTACAAAGGCTTACAAACCATATGTAGTTATCTGTTAGAGCACAAACAAAACATGACTTTTTCTCTCTAGAAAACATGTTTAATATGGTTTCCTTTCCATCAGATGTGTGCATGGATAAATGGGTACCACATTTACTTTTGTCTAAATTTCTATCCAATCAGTATCCTCTATAGCAAAAGCTGCTTCGTGGATTTCTGTACAGAATCTGTCATTAGAATGAAACAGAACTGATACTGAGAAAGTGAAATGGTGACTATGAAAGTCGCTTTCATTGTGTAAGAACCACTACTCAAGTACCTATTATACTTAGGGTAGACTTTATATATTTTTCATGAAGGTGGCAATATTTGACTATGAATATGAATCAGATAGAACTAGAGGTTGAGAGGGTGATATCCTCATATTAACCTTGGAACAATATGTGTCAGATCACTAGTAAAGAGCAGCAAAACCATGAATAGAAATTTAGGAAGGTTTTAGGGAAGTATATGTTGTTTTAACCTGAATCCAGAAATCACTTGAAACAATTATTACCTTTCCAGATCATATTGAATGAAATTAAATCTTTTTAGTCACCATAAGGAATAATTATTAATATAAGTAAATCTTAAACAATATTTTGAAGGGTGAACTGATACACAAAGTCAGATCACTAGAATTTCAGCCATATTTTATTTCTTTGTTCTTCAATATTTTTATGGCTGTGTTTGAAACATATCTTTCAAGATACCAATGTCAAATATTTATCTCTTTTTAGGAGAGAAAGTAGCAGTAAAAATCGTAAACAATCAGAGAAAATACAACTCTTGAGAACAGTTCTCCTCAGATACCTTTGAAGATGAAATGTTAGATCTATAATTGTTATTTGGTTATCAGTGAGTGAAAAAGGCTAATGATAAATTTCCTTACTTGCATGGTTTAACTATAGACATATAAGGCTTTATTAAGAATTTAGATAAAAAACATAGTATGAGAGAAATTTTTATAACAAAGTTATTCTAATTCCAAGAAAACACAACCAAATCCTGAAATTTTCATATCTGTTATAGCAGAAATAGTAACTTTTGCATTATTTATATCTTGTCTTTGAAAATTTGAAAAGTCTGGTGCAATCAAAATTAAAGTAACTTAACTTACTGGAGTTAAGCCATGAAAAGAGTTTTGAATTTAAAAATTCTTTATTTTGAGAATCATAAGAAAGAAACTTTGCCAAGATAGACAATAGTATAAAATATTATACTTACAATCTAGTTGTTTATAGCGATGAGAAATCAAAACACCTTTTGTTTTGTCAACATCTAAAGCTAGGTACTCTACTGAACCATGGCCAAATTTTTGCACTCGAAATACACCGTTTTTAGGACCTGCTCCATATATATAATCTTCAAAGACATCAATCCTGTGTGGATGTAACAAACCTAGAATTTTTTAAAAGTGGAGTTATAAAAGTTGCAAATGTAAACAGTCAGTCTTAAGAAAACTAAGCTTATCCAAGATCATATTGAAAATCTTATTCCTGTTAACAAAAACTTTCAGAATTAGAATATTTTAATATCAGCTATAAAATTGATAAGATTGATTTATTAGCAGTAAAAATATGTGAGATATTAAACTTATCACTAAGAACATAAAAAACATTTCCATCATCACTTTAATCAATTTTACCATCACAAAGCATTTCCTGGAGGTCTTATTATACAGAATAATCTTTTCTGTTGTACAGTTTGCAAAGCTTACATGACATTGATAACCACCACTGCACAAAAACAGTTCACAAAATTCTCATTTTCTTGTTTTTCAGTTGCTCAGTTGTGTCCAACTCTTTGTGACCCCGTGGACTGCAGCACACTAGACTTCCCTGTCCTTCACTATCTCCTGGAGTTTGCTCAAGCTCATATCTATNTCTTTCAAAAGAGGTTCATGAGTCCTCCATACCCGCGTGCCCTGGCAGCTAATTTCAGCTCTGGGACTCTGCAGACTGGCTCCCCTTGTGGAAGGAAGGATGCCTCTGCCACCAGCCCGGGGTGGCTGTCCTTAAGTCGGGTCCCCGCAGGATGGGCACTTTATCCCAGCGTCCAGGGTGATGGGCCTCCAGGAGTCCCTCACGTGGAGGCCTGGCCTTTCCCCATCCTTGAAGCATTAATGAGATGGATGTTTTGTCCGAGCTCTGCTGAGGGGGAGGTCCCGCTTCCCCAGATGGAGGTCAACCCACCAGAGCTGCTGTTCTAAAATTATCACCCGCGCATCCCTCAAAAGCATCAAATGGTCATAATAAGTCATATTTACAAAGCACCAGCACATTCACCGCGTGGGACCCCACAGGGCTTTACAAATGCAACAAACTAATACACACGCTAACTAGAAGGCGCCTCTCGCCGACCCCTGCGAGGCGGCTACCTCTGGGGTGAGCAGCAGCAGCTGTTGATCTGCACGGAGCCCCAGGACACAATGGCAGGGCCAGGGCGGGAAGAATGGCCGGACTCTAGGAGGCCCCGCGCGGCCCCAGGCCGACACACTCAGCCTGTGTTATTCTGATCTGACAGCGTCTTTTGATTCTGCCGCCTCGGTACCTGTTATCCCAGGATCACAGCTTTGCCGGCAGAGCGGCCGCCTATTCTATTACAACCAGGGGCCTCCGACCCCTGCCAACAACAAGCCCGGGCTGAGGAAACAGCATCTTGGAGATGCATGCAAAGGGCACACATCCAAGGGAACAGACGTGTCGGGGGCCACAGCCTCAGGCACAAAGGAGCAGATTGTGTTGGGATCCCAGGGACTACAATTGCAGTGTCTTTCTACCCAGCAGAAAGCAGAGAAAGCGCCACTCGGGCTCCAAACTTACAAGGCTCTGAATGGCTAAGGACAGGAGTCCGGGGAACAAGCAGAGCAGGTGTCTACACCCGCGGGGCCAGGGCACCGCTCCTCTAGCTGGAGCCCAGCACCTGACTGAGGTCTTTGGAGCCACGCCCAGCACTGGGATGCTAGCGCTGGCAGGACCACAGGAGTCGGCTAGCGCAGCTCCATCCCCATTTTGCAGCTGGGAAGACTGAGGCCCAGCGAGAAAAGTGGCTCAAAGTTATACATGCCATTTATCCTACTCTCAGTCTAGAGTGCTTTCTGTTCGCAGCTCCTTTCCTAGGAATTCTTTTTCTTAAAAAGAAAAAAAAAAAGCAAAGCAGTAAATAAGTAAAACTTATTTACTTAGTTGCAAATTAGTATGCAAATATAAAAACTTCAAGTATAAATTGTGAACAAATTGTGGTAAATAGCTAAGGGGTTTTGGTAGGAAAGAGAAAGAGAAAAAGAAGGGAAATAAATTAAGCAGAAAGAACTGAGATTCCCTGGCAAGGAAAGTGTGAGTCACAGAAGGGAGTGAAAAATGAGAGTGAAAAACAGAAGATAGACATAGAGAGGGAGATAAGAAGGGTGCCATGAAAGTAGACCACTGGTAGATTCTGCAGTCACTTGTAGGAGAAGTAAACTCCCATTTTTCACACGTTGCTTCACATGGATGAGAGCATCCCTATTAATTACCTATAAAAACAAATGTTACTATGATGTTTTACCTATATAGTAACTCATTTCCTACTTATCACTGCAATTTGAAATAAAAATTAGTATTCCCATGCACTAATCTTGACTGCTTGAAGTCATCTGCTCAGAAAAGAACATCCACAGAAGCAACACACAATATTTTCTGAATCCAGTAGCAATGTACCACGTTTGTCCTGGAGTCAAGAAGTTCTCCTGGTGTGGCCTCTCTGTTATTCTAAGTAGCAGGAATGAAAATTGTAATGAATAAGAGCTACAAGTAAGAGCTACAAGTTGAAATGAGATTCCCAGGTGGTAAAGAATCTACCTGCCAATGCAGAAGATGCAGGAGACACGAGTTTGATTCCTGAATGGGGAAGATCCCCAGGAGAAGGAATTGCCAACCCACTTTAATATTGCTGCCTGGGAAATCCCATGGACAATGAAGGCTGGTAGGCTACAGTCTGTGGGGTCACAAGGAGTCAGACACGACTGAATACCCACGCACACACACACACAAAACTGTACACAGTAAGTTGAAAAGAGACATAAATTGAGGAAATACAGAAAGTAAGGCTCTCATAATTGTATCTATGCATCATTATTTAATATGCTCAAAGGTAATTAAAGGCAGAAACAAAAGCACTTCACAAACCTTGTTTACTGGTGACAGAGACGACGGAATCAGAACCATCGTACAGAACGCTGCCGATAACAGAGAGTTCAAGATCAGCCCAGTATATCCGTTCACTGAAATGATCCACAGCCAGACCTGTAAAATCAACACACACAGACAGATGCCAGCAATACATTTGAGATTATTTAAAATTATGTTTCTTCTTTTTAATTTGTTATAATTGAACAGTTTTTTTCAAACCTCTTAGAAATTACCTAGTCTATGTCATGGTAGTGCAAAAATCAGAAAAAAAAATGAAATAACTTAATCTTTATATGTGTTAATAAATTACACAGAATTTATTACACTGCAATACAGTGTAGCAAAAAATATTTTTACTTCACATAGGAAAAGCCATCCTAACTACCCCTCCTTTCTACTCTTACTGGTTTCTTAATTATGGTTGTTTTCTAGAAAACTTTCTCATGACTTTTTTTTTAACCTTTATAGTACACACAGAATTAATTCATCTTTTAAATCACTTATCCAAACATTATTTAAAATAATTCCAGGTAATTAGCTATATTTTGAATCTTTTCATGAAGGTGCATTTTGCAGAAAATTAAAGGTTCATGAGCTTAATCATAAGATATTTTCACCAACTTGAGTTGGCCTATAGTGTTATGAGACACCTGTGTGCATGCTGAAGTTTAAATTGACTAAAGATTGATGTTTACAGTAGGGAATAATGAATAGTAAATTCCTTAATTAAGTTTCTCATTGTACTTACATTTTTCACTCAAATTTTTTACTCTAATCATTAATTTGCTCTGAGACTGCCACCTTTCTCTTCATTATCAGTATCTGTTAGTGAATACCACTGGACTAAAATGACATGCAGTAAAAAATAATGTTTTTCTATTTATTCAGTTTTTTATTTCATAATGGGATCTAGTCAGTATCTTCTTGCACAAATATATCATCAACACATAGAATGCCTTAGGTAAACTTCTTTCAGTTTAGAAAAGTAAGTCCCATAACATATGAATTCTATGATAAATCTTTGCTGCTGTAGATATTCAATTTTTAAAACATAGCTAGTCTTTAGATATGACATACGACACACTTTGAAACTACAATGCAATCAAAACACCATTGGTATCTGAATGCTAAAAAGCTTTCTGAATGAGATCATTCAATAAAAAAAAAAAATGAGGAAATTTAATGCCATCTTAAAGGCCAGGCAACTGAATGAAAAGTATTTTTGAGTTTACACTTATTGTCCTTCTTTGCAGATATATCAAAACTTAACAATCAAAATGAAAACATATCATGGTGAAAATCACTTGGGAATAATTTTTCAGTAAAGTATGTGTCTATCCCAAATGTAATTAAACTAAATAAAAATATTTCTCAGGTGTAATATAAAGATGCTCTATGTCCAATCAGCCTCTGAGAAATGACTTACCAATTAAAACAAGTGGCCTGTGTTTTACTAGTTTCTGCTCAATGATTAATTTGCTATTTGGAGTTATGGTGGATATTAGACCTTAGCTTTTTCATGTGTAATTATGAGTAATGGGAAACATAAAATGATCCAGCTTCTTTGCTGCCACTATTCTACTTCATAATCATTGTCTACAAAAGATTTAAAATGCTTTTGTTTTTTTTTCACTAGTGTAATACAATAAAGTGGTAGATTAAAAAAAAGAAAGTTGTTCTCAACCAAATTGAACTTTACATTTAAATATTACATTTGTTAATCATAGAAATGAAGAAAACAATAGGTATTAATCTAACTTAACTACAAATATTGTTTTGTCAGATGCAACAGCAGTAAAAATTTGTCAAATGTGTCATACATTGCACTATTAGTCTAGGCTTAAGACACATACAGCTACAGTCCCATATTATACTAGCTTGGGTGGAATTACATCTAGATAAAAATTTTGCCACAAGCTTTTAGATGAGTGGGATTTATATTCCCCTAAATCCACAAATCAATGACTTTGATTTTTTCCTTAAGCCATTTAATAAAAGAGATAGTCTTTTAAATTAAAAAGTTAAAGAAGGAATCAACCAACTTTTTGTTACAGAGATGAGTCAAGTTTATATGAAAGAACAAATTCATTTCTGTATCTTTAAAACATCACATCTTTTTTTGTCTTTAATAAAGAAGCAATAATAAAGTGGAGAAAAAATCAACTCCCAGGAAAGTCATTCTTATGTGAACTGGGAATGGGGAATATCTGGGACCAAGTCAGTGAAAGTACAGAAAATTTAAAATAAAATGTCTACTTGTTCTAATTGAGCATAATAGAAAGACAATTTGGAAGTCTTATGAAAGAAAAAGTCCTGATAAGTTTTAGGAGCACATGATAATGGTCCTAATCTGTTTTTTAAACATCTCCCATAATATCAAGACTAAGTTTACATTTTAGGGATTTTTGAATCTACCTTTTAACTTTAAATTTTTCCAAGATCCTTCTACTAGTTTCCCTATTTCCACTGTGGTCTAAAAAGAAGACAGAAAATGGCAAAAGCAAAATCTTATGAGAACTGGTCATAGTACCAATGTGATATTTAAGAGAGAAGACCTGGAGAAGAGAAATAAATTATGTTTTCAGAAAGGGAGAAAGAGATTATGTAGATTTCATATTATAGGAAAGCTGAGATTTGTAAGGTAGTAATAACAAACAAGTGTGCAATACCCTATTCTTGATTTAAGAGGTAATAAAAGGGGTCCAAAAAAAAAGCTAAAGATACTTACCACTATGTTAAATTTATTTAAAAAAATTTTTTAAGTAATTTCTCAGGGAGGTTACCTATAAAAGGTTTTGGATATTAGACTATGTTACAGTTATTTTTACACATATATGTGCTTGTGTGTGAGTTTGTGTGCTCAGCTGTTCAGTCCAGTCAGACTCTTTGTGACACCTGGATTATAGCTCACCAGGCTCCTTTGTCCATGGGATTTCCCAGGCAAGAATATTGGAGTGTGCTGCCATTTCCTTCTCCATGGGATCTTCCCAACCCAGGGATTGAACCTGCATCTCCTGCTTGGTGGGCAGATTCTTTACCACTGAGCCACTGGGTTTCCCCAGTGTGTACACACACACACACACACACACACACACATACAGTTATTTATGAGTGTTAGCAAAATAATGCATCAAGGAATTGAAAGATAGTCCTTAAGTTTTTATCTATCTCATTTAATTAGAGATCTTTTCATTGGCCAAGGACAAAGAATTTGCATAGTGAATCAAATAATTATGACTGTAACAGCCAGTATGTACTTCTTTATTTTTCTGTTTATTCAGAAACTGCCACAATCTGAGAGGATCTAAAAGTAACATAAAAAAGCTTTTGGATATCAAGTAATATGGTATTTAAGCCAAACTCATGTAATTCTACATGCCCTTCTATTGGAGGGAAAAATGAAGAGCATTCATTTTTAAAAGAAAGTAATTAATATATATTTGTAAGGCACCTCCTTTGCACCATACACTGTCAGGCCCTAGTATGTAACAAAGATTGAAATTTCCTACTCTCATGGTACCTCCTACTCACCCACCACACAATTGACTGAATCAGAATAGAGATTATGCTTCTTGCATTTAATATTGGGCCTAAAACATCTGTTAAAAGAGAACTTAATACCATAACATAGGTTAGAGTATTAAAAATGGTATGCATTCATATCTTCAGTCATTCAACACATAATTAGTCTTGAGGAGAGTGGTGTAAGATGGCGGAGCAGAAGGACATGCGCTTATCTTCTCTTGCAAGAACTCCAAAACTACAACTCACTGCTGAAAAACCATCGATTGGAGAATGTTGGATCCCACAAAAAAAGATACCCCATGTCCAAGGGCAAAGGAGAAACTCCAACAAGACGGTAGGAAGGGAGAAATCACAATTAGAATCAAACCCCTTACCCACCAGAGACACTCAGAGGGCTCAAACCTAGTGCACGCCAAGACCCCGAGACCCCACAGAGACTGAGCCAGAAAAAAAAAAGCTAAAGATACTTACCACTATGTTAAATTTATTTAAAAAAATTTTTTAAGTAATTTCTCAGGGAGGTTACCTATAAAAGGTTTTGGATATTAGACTATGTTACAGTTATTTTTACACATATATGTGCTTGTGTGTGAGTTTGTGTGCTCAGCTGTTCAGTCCAGTCAGACTCTTTGTGACACCTGGATTATAGCTCACCAGGCTCCTTTGTCCATGGGATTTCCCAGGCAAGAATATTGGAGTGTGCTGCCATTTCCTTCTCCATGGGATCTTCCCAACCCAGGGATTGAACCTGCATCTCCTGCTTGGTGGGCAGATTCTTTACCACTGAGCCACTGGGTTTCCCCAGTGTGTACACACACACACACACACACACACACACATACAGTTATTTATGAGTGTTAGCAAAATAATGCATCAAGGAATTGAAAGATAGTCCTTAAGTTTTTATCTATCTCATTTAATTAGAGATCTTTTCATTGGCCAAGGACAAAGAATTTGCATAGTGAATCAAATAATTATGACTGTAACAGCCAGTATGTACTTCTTTATTTTTCTGTTTATTCAGAAACTGCCACAATCTGAGAGGATCTAAAAGTAACATAAAAAAGCTTTTGGATATCAAGTAATATGGTATTTAAGCCAAACTCATGTAATTCTACATGCCCTTCTATTGGAGGGAAAAATGAAGAGCATTCATTTTTAAAAGAAAGTAATTAATATATATTTGTAAGGCACCTCCTTTGCACCATACACTGTCAGGCCCTAGTATGTAACAAAGATTGAAATTTCCTACTCTCATGGTACCTCCTACTCACCCACCACACAATTGACTGAATCAGAATAGAGATTATGCTTCTTGCATTTAATATTGGGCCTAAAACATCTGTTAAAAGAGAACTTAATACCATAACATAGGTTAGAGTATTAAAAATGGTATGCATTCATATCTTCAGTCATTCAACACATAATTAGTCTTGAGGAGAGTGGTGTAAGATGGCGGAGCAGAAGGACATGCGCTTATCTTCTCTTGCAAGAACTCCAAAACTACAACTCACTGCTGAAAAACCATCGATTGGAGAATGTTGGATCCCACAAAAAAAGATACCCCATGTCCAAGGGCAAAGGAGAAA